CCCCAGAGACTCTGTGGGCAGGGTGGAGGGCAGGTATAATTTTCTTAATCCTGGGTTAGTTAGAATCATAGAATAGAATCATAGAATAGTTAGGGTTGGAAAGGACCTTAAGATCATCTAGTTCTAATCCCCCCTGCCTTACGTAAATCATATCACCCAAGGCCTCGTCCAACCTGGCCTTGAACACTGCCAGGGATGGAGCACCCACAACCTCCCTGGGCAACCTATTCCAGTGCCTCACCACCCTAACAGGAAAGAATTTCCTCCTTATATCCAAGTTAAACTTCCCCTGTTTAAGTTTTAACCCGTTACCCCTTGTCCTGTCACTGCAGTCTCTAATGAAGAGTCCCTCCCCAGCATCCCTATAGCCCCCCTTCAGATACTGGAAGGCTGCTAGGAGGTCTCCACACAGCCTCCTCTTCTCCAGGCTGAACAGCCCCAACTTTCTCAGCCTGTCTTCATACGGGAGGTGCTCCAGTCCCCTGATCATCCTCGTGGCCCTTCTCTGGACTTGTTCCAACAGTTCCGTGTCCTTTTTATGTTGAGGACACCATAACTGCACACAATACTCCAGATGAGGTCTCACAAGAGCAGAGTAGAGAGGCAGGATCACCTCCTTCGACCTGCTGGTCATGCTCCTTTTGATGCAGCCCAGGATACGGTTGGCTTTCTGGGCTGGGAGCACACACTGAAGCTGGCTCATGTTCATTTTCTCATCAACCAACACCCCCAAGTCCTTCTCCTCAGGGCTGCTCTGAATCTCTTCTCTGCCGAACCTGTAGCTGTGCCTGGGATTGCTCCAACCCAGGTGTAGGACCTTGCACTTGGCATGGTTAAACTTCATGAGGTTGGCATCAGCCCACCTCACAAGCCTGTCAAGGTCCCTCTGGATGGCATTCCTTCCCTCCAGCGTATCAACCAAACCACACAGCTTGGTGTCATCGGCAAACTTGCTGAGGGCGCACTCAATCCCACTGTCCATGTCAGCGAGGAGGATGTTGAACAAGAACGGTCCCAACACCGATCCCCGAGGGACACCACTCGTTACTGGTCTCCAGCCGGACATTGAGCCATTGACCACAACTCTTTGTGTGTGTCCATCCAGCCAGTTCTTTATCCACCGAGTGGTCCATCCATCAAATTGATGTCTCTCCAATTTAGAGACAAGGATGTCGTGTGGGACAGTGTCGAATGCTTTGCACAAGTCCAGGTAGATGACATCAACTGCTCTACCCCTGTCCATCAGTTCTGTAGCCCCATCATAGAAGGCCACCAAATTGGTCAGGCAGGATTTCCCCTTAGTGAAGCCATGCTGGCTGTCACCAAGCACCTTGTTGATTTTCATGTGCCTTAGCATGCCTTCCAGGAGAATCTGCTCCAAGATTTTGCCAGGCACAGAGGTGAGACTGACTGGTCTGTAATTCCCCTTCTTGAAAATGGGGGTTATATTTCCCTTTTTCCAGTCATTGGGAACTTCACCTGACTGCCACGATTTCTCAAATATGATGGCCAACGGCTTCGCAACTTCATTCACCAGCTCCTTCAGGACCCACAGATGGATCTCATCAGGTCCCATGGACTTGTGCACATTCAGATTTTTAAGATGGTCTCGAACCAGTTCCTCTCCTACAGTGTGCGCAAGGTCTTCATTCTCACAGTCCCTGTGTCTGCCTTCCAACCACTTGGGTGGTGTGATCAGAGCCTTTGCCAGTGAAGACTGAGGCAAAGAAGTCATTCAGAAGCTCAGCCTTCTCCAAATCCTGTGCAGCCAGTTCTCCCGAGAGCTTCCTGAGGGGGCCTACGTTCTCCCTAGTCTGTTTTTTATTTGCTATGTACCTGTAGAATCCCTTCCTGATATCTTTAATACCTCTAGCTAAGTTTAATTCTAACTGGGCCTTAGCTTTCCTAACCTAGTCCCTAGCTTCCCGGACAGCATCCCTGTAGTCTTCCCATGCCACCTGTCCTTGCTTCCACTTTTTATAAGTCTCCTTTTCCCTCTAAGTTTCCTCAGCAGCTCCTTATCCATCCAAGGAGGTCTCCTGGCCCTCCTGCTGCACTTCCTTCTAATTGGGATGCAACACTCCTGAGCTTGGAGCAGGTGATCCTTGAATATCAACCAAGAGTCTTGGGCCCCCTGCCCTCTAGGGCTGTATCCCATGGAGCCTTCCGAAGCAGGCTCCTGAAGAGGCCAAAGTCTGCTCTCTTGAAGTCCAGGGCAGTGAGCTTGCTGCATGCTCTTCTCACTGTCCTCAGGATCTCAAATTCGAGCATCTCATGATTGCTGCATCCAAGGCTGCCCTGGAGCATCGCATTTCCAACGAGCCCTTCCCTGTTGGTGAGCACGAGGTCAAGCATGGCACCTCTCCTTGTCGGCTCCTCTATTACTTGCAGAAGGAAGTTGTCTTCTACACAATCGAGGAACCTCCTGGATTGCTTGTGCCAGGCTATACCGTCCTTCCAACAGATGCCAGGGTGGTTGAAGTCACCCATGAGAACAAGGGCCTGCGAGCGTGAGGCCTTTCCTATCTGTCTATGGAGTGCTTCATCCGCAGGTTCTCCTTGATCAGGCAGTCTGTAACAGATCCCCACAGTAATGTCTCCCATAGCTATATTCCCTTTAACCCTGACCCACAAACTCTCTGTGGACTGCTCACCTGTCCCCAGACAGAGTTGCATACTCTCCAGCCTATCCCTAACATAAAGGGCAACTCCCCCTCCCCGCCTGCCAGGCCTGTCCTTCCTAAAGAGCCTGTAACCTTCCATTCCAACACTCCAGTCATAGGAGCCATCCCACCATGTTTCTGTGATGCCTATTATATCACACCCCCGTAGACGTGCACATATCTCTAATTCCTCTTGTTTGTTCCCCATACTACGGGCATTTGTATAGAGGCATCTGAGCCGAGCTCCAACTGAAGCTGGCTCATTGGCTGGGGCGGCTGGGATATCTCTACGTTGCTCCAGGCATTTATTATAGGTTCTGGCAACTGACTGGGTGTGTTGGGATGGAATGATGCCCCCCTCCTCCAACACATCTAGTTTAAAGCCTCCTTGACCAGTCTGGCAAGCCTCCTACCAAAACTGCTCTTTCCCTTCTTTATCAGACCAGCTCCACCAGCCCCCAGCAGACCTGGCCTACAAGCTTGGGTCCCGTGTTCAAGACACCCAAACCCCTGACTATGACATCACCCTTTTAACCAGTTATTAACCTGGCCAATCCTCCTAGCTTTTTTTAGGTCCTCCCCTGTACCCTGGAGAATTGATGAAAAGACCACCTGAGCTCCAGAGCCCCTAACCACCTCCCCCAGGGCTCTGTAGTCCTTCTTTATGTTCCCCAGGCTACTACTATATATATCCCTAGCACCCACATGGATCACCAGGAGTGGGTAATAGTCTGGCCACCGCCGGGGCAGCCAGAGCAGAGCTCCCAGACCGGGCCCTGATCATATGACGAGTTCCCACCATCCCGCACAAACTGCTTCCCCACGCTCCTGGTCGCTCGCGCTCCCTGGAGCAGGTTTTTAACCACCCAGGGCTGGTGCTGCTGCTTCAGGCTCCCTCCCCGGTGAGTGAGCTCCTCGCTCGTGTCAGCTGAGCTTCCGGCTCCTGGGCAGGTCCTGTTGAGGACTTGAGGCTCCCTCGGTGGCTTTTGTCGCTCTAAGTTGAGGCTCCTGGACGCTGATCTCCCCCCCCGGCTCCGGTGTTGAAGGCGTCCTCTCTCGAGCTACTCACCTCAGCAACTGACCAAGTTGCTGCAACTTTCTTCTGATACCTGATAAGTACTATCTTTCTGGTAATTTGAGAACTTTAGTAGACACTTATTATCTGGCTAAATTGGTTCTGAATTAATTGCCTAGGCAGGCTACAGTGCTACCTGCAGGCTGCTGATTTTGGGATGTGGGAGAAGTGTGGACTTAGATGGGAGGGAGTGCATCAGTTTCAAGGATACCAGGGTGTCCTGGGTTCAGCAGTAGCAGTCATTTTTCTCCTTCTCAGTACCTGGTGCAGTGCTGTGTTTTTGACTTTCGGCCTGGGAACAGTGCTGATAACACCCATGTTTTTAGTTGGTGCTCAGTAATGTTTACTCTGACCAAGGACTTTCTGAGTCTCATGCTCTGCCAGGGAGGAGGGGAAGCCGGGAGGAAGCAGAGACAGGACACCTGACCCAAACTACACAAAGAGGTATTCCATACCACAGCACGTCATGCCCACTATATAAACTGGGGGCAGTTACCCAAAAGGGTTAGATCACTGCTTGGTTGGGCTGGGTATCAGTCAGCGGGTGGTGAGCGGTTGTATTCTCTTCCCTTGTTATTTCCATTATCATTATTATTATTGGTTGTAGCAGTAGTGATTTGTATTATACCTTAGTTACTGGACTGTTCTTATCTCAACCAGTGGGAGTTACATCCTTTCGATTCTCCTCTCCATCCCTCCAGGACCTGGGGGGAGGAAAGGGGGGCAGTGAGAGAGCAGCTGCATGGTTCTGGGTTGCCAGCTGGGCTTAAACCATGACAGTTCTTTTTGGTGCCCAATGGTGGCATGAAGGGTTGAGGTAACGACAGATCTGACCAGACTGTGTCTAATCATATTTGTGATGAGCATTCATTGTTTTGGATTAATAATCACTTGTCACAATGCTGATTTATTGGCTCTCAAAGTTGGTTCTCTTGATTTCACAGTTTCAGCATGTTGTACCTTATTTACAGCCAGTATTTACTGTGTTAGTGTTTATCAGCTGGGGGCCTTGGGTTAAGGTTCTTGCTTCATTGTACTTTATGGTAATGACTTGTAATACAATAGAATCATTGATCATGAAACTGATCTTGACCCAGTGTGGTCACCACCTCTATACTTTGGCAGGTATATAATGGAAGTGTTTAACAATTACACATCTTTTCTCCCCTCCTCGGGTGGTCAACCCATGAAAGAGACATTCCCTTATGCTCTCAGCCCCACCCCCACCAGACCATTTCCACCATCATTTGAGAGTTCTGAAGGTTTTGAATGGCCTTTAGGTACCCTTGAGACCTGCCTGCTGATTGCGATGGGGATCACCATGTTGGCATGCATGCAGAGTGTGTTTTACCCACAACCATTTCATTTGATTTCAAGAGCTGAGCAGAGTTGGGTTTGGGGCTTGTCTAGGGTTAGATAACGATATAAGAGGACCAAGAGTTTTTCCCCGAGGCTGGACAGTCATGAGTGGCAGGGTGTGTGCGATAGTATGGGCAAGTATCTAGGCCAGTGGGTCACTCCAGTGCTTTGGAATTTCACCACTGAACAAGTACAAAATCAGACAAAATTAGTAAAACACTTAAATGAGGTGTGTGGTCATTCTGGCCATACCAGAGACGGAGAAATCATGGCAACGTGCTGGGGCTTGGCCTATGCTTACAGAGCCCTGTTCAACACTATCCAGCACCTTAAAAAGGAAAAAAAAGTCCCTGGATCTGATGGCAAAGCAACAGACAGCACAGCTACTGCAACTCCAAGCACAACAGCTACACCAGCCCCAGTGACAAGTACAGCAGCTACCCAAACTCCGACCACAACTGACAGGGCAGCTACTCCAGCTCCAAGCACAGCAACTACACCAGCCCCAGCAACAAGTACAGCAGCTACTCAAACTTTGACCACAACAGACAGCGCAGCTAATCCAACTCCAAGTACAGCAGCTACACCAGAGGACCAAATTGTGCCAATATTGGTTGCCCTTGTACGCAAGGAGAAAAGTAAAAAGGCAAGAAAGATGAAGCAAGATGAAGAAACAATGTACTCATCACCCAGGACAGCTTCAGACCAGGAGTTATTAGTATGTGAATCAGAGGAAGAAGAGGAAGAAGAGGTGACGTCTTGACCCTGGATCTCAACAAAGCTACAGAATATGCGAAAAGATTTTACCTGTCAACCAGGTGAGCACATCATCAGCTGGTTGCTCCGATGCTGGGAAAATGGGGCCGATGTTCATGAACTAGAAGGTACAGAAGCCAAGCAGCTGGGATCGCTTGCTAGGGAAGGGGGGATTAACAAAGCAATTGCAACAGAGAAACAGTCCCTCAGCCTTTGCAGGCGGCTCTTGGCAGCTGTGAATGAAAGGTTTCCATACCAGGACGATGTTATGAGTTTTTTGGCCAAGTGGACTACTCTAGAAAAAGGCATCCAGTCTCTGAGGGAATCAGCCATCGTAGAGATGCTCTATCACATCAAGCCAAATAATGGGGATACACTCATAGATCCAGGTGAAGTCGAATGTACACAACCCATGTGGCGAAAACTTACATGGAATGCACCGTCATCATATGCCCATTCATTGGCAACAGTAACCTGGAATGACATAGTACCACTAACAGTGGATGAAATGGTTCATAAACTCCGAGAGTCTGAAGACAATCTCACCCCCTCCATCATCTCAGCTGTAGAAAAACTGTCCCAGGAGCTCAGACAATTGAGGGATGATCTATCTGATCTATCCAGCTCCTCATGTGTACCAACACATCTCAGCTATTAACAAAAGGCCTCCTACTGCTCGAGAGAGAATATATAGAAGGTATACGCCACAGGCTACCCTATGGTTTTACCTGCAGGATCACGGAGAAGACATGACAAAGTGGGATGGGAAACCTACTTCAGCTTTGGAGGAACGGGTGAGTGAATTGAAGAGGAGAACAAGGGTCAAGGATGATCATCCCATGAAAGCTGCAGCTTCAGTCTCTGGCGAGTAGGTTCCCAGATGGAGTGGAATAGTTGATTTTACTCCAGCTCCTGTGGTAAAGAAGTATAATCCCTTTCTACAAGACTTAAATGTCCAACATTGTGATGACTATTAGAGGGACCCTGCCTCCAGCCAGGTGGAGGTAGGGGACAATCGGATTTACTGGACTGTGTGGATCAGATGGCCTGGCACATCAGTCCCACAGAAGCATAAGGCTCTAGTAGATACCAGTGCACAGTGTACCCTGATGCCATCAAGCTGTCAAGGGATGGAGCCCATTTATATCTCTGGAGTGACAGGACGATCCCAAGAGTTGACTGTGCTGGAGGCTGAAATCAGCCTGACTGGGAGGGAATGGCAAAAGCACCCTATTGTGACTGGTCCAGAGGCTCCATGCATCCTCGGCATAGACTACCTCAAGAGAGGGTACTTCAAAGACCCAAAAGGGTACCGGTGGGCTTTTGGTATTGCTGCTTTGGAGACTGAGGAAATTGAGCAGCTGTCCACCTTGCCTGGTATCTCAGAAGATCCCTCTGCTGTGGGGTTGCTGAAGGTCGAAGAACAACAAGTGCCAATTGTGACCACAACAGTGCACCGGCGGCAATATCGCACCAACCGAGACTCCCTGATTCCCATCCATCAGCTGATCTGTAGACTGGAGAGTCAGGGAGTGATCAGCAGGACCCGCTCGCCCTTTAATAGCCCCATATGGCCAGTGCTAAAGTCTAATGGAGAGTGGAGACTAACAGTAGACTATCGTGGCCTGAGCAAAGTCACACCACCCTTGAGTGCTGCTCAGCCCGTGGGAGTTACATTCTTTCGATTCTCTTCCCCATCCCTCCGGGACCTGGGGGGAGGAAGGGGAGGGAGTGAGAGAGATGCTGTGTGGTTCTGAATTACAGCTGGGCTTAAACCACAACACAGGGCTTGACAGAGAGGGAAAAGGAAGAAGGAATCAACCAGTGACCTCCATTCATTCTTTCAGAAGGGGTCTTTTCTGTCAGCTATCAGCAATTAACATTTTCACTAACAGAGAGAAGCGCAAGGGGGACACAATGTGCATACCATAGCACATTGGCTGGGTAAGAGGCTGTCACAGTGTCTGTTAGTGTGCATATTGCCAATGCCCCGCTCGAAGTGTTACCATAATCATAGTGTGGGACTGCTGAGTAATCATTCCCCATGAGTCCCTGACACCGCGGAATAGCATGACCAGCAGCCATACCCGCCAGAAATATAGGTGTCCATGGTAGCTTGCTGGGAAGCCAAGAGCAGGCACATTTTGTTTGGGTTTCCTCTAGTAGAGATGGGAAAATGGGAGGAGACATGACAGCTCTTGACAGTGAGAGGGAGATAGAGTTGCCTGAGTCAGAAAAAATTGCCACTATTGCAAGAATGAGTGGTTACAAAAACAAAAAATAAGCATTTTCAATATATTACAAACAAAATTATCTGCCAAAAGGGCAAGATAATTATCTTAATGTGATTTTTGACCAAGATAAATTTATCTTATTTTATAAACTGGGTAACAATTTGAATCTTATGCAAAACCTAGAAATAAATCTAAAAAATATGATAATGTAATAAAATTGAAATTATTAGCAGTCCAAGTGCCATACTTGAGGCAGTAAAACCTTTTAAGTTGCAATGGAAAATAGGCTAGTAAAACTGGAGTAACTTACTCTACTTTAATCACTTGATAAATAGCTACAACATTTGGAAGAATTGATAGTGTCATTATAGCAACATCCTTTTTTATAAACAGGCTGGTGCTGATTTGATTCTAATTGCTGCCAGAGGAACAGTATCAAAGTAGTGTTGCTCCAGCAGTGTAACCCGTGGGGTGAGCGGGAGGGGGATTAGCTGCTTGAAATGAAGAAAGCACCAGTTTTTCAAAGGGATGGATTCTAATTCCAGGAGTGATGGAGGAACCTGAGTAAATTCAGTGGTGAGAGAAACTATAGGGAAATGCTTAATGAAGAAAAAGCATAAGGTAGACAAAACAGGCTCCTCTGAGCTCATTAAATAGTGAAAAGCCAGTGAGAGTAGTCAAGAGGTTTGAGCAGGACCGTGTGTTTGCTTTCTCATCAGAATAAATTCTCCTCCTAGGCTGGTGTGGCCCCATCACCAAACCTCAGCTCTGACCCTCCTGGCTCTCAGCTTTGTTCTACCACTGACATAGTGGCCACATTTGCAGCCCACTTTCATAAATGGTTTTCCAATATGGATGTCTTTATTTTTTGCTTGTCCAGTGTCACACACCAATGCCTAAGACATTCTTAATTATTAATTACAGCTTCTTTGTATAATTGTGGGAACTATCCACCTTTTTGTCCATTTGATGGACAGTGCACCTAAGAATGAAGACTACTTTTGCAAATTTAATCCTTAGCAATGATGTGCTTCAGTTCTTACTCTGAAATCCTGGATTTGACCCTTCTTGGGCTGCAGAGATATTGACCTATCGTACTGATGACTACTGTGACATTTGTGGGCAATAGATTTACATTTATCTGGAAAAAGTATGTATCTCTAGAACACATGCTTCTAGGCTGGATCTTTTTCTGAAAGCTACTAAGAAGCTGTCTTATTTTGTGAATGGTAGCAAGAAAAGCAGGGTTACATAAGGAGAGAAAAGGACGTATACATTTAATAGTTCAGTCATGTTAGAGACAAACCCAAGAATAAACAGAAATGCAGAGCGGAGAGGTACTTATGTTTTTGCACAAGTCATGTGATAAGCTTCTCCCATAAAGACTGTGACTAAATAAAATATGTAAAATAGCTTGTTGAAGAAAAAATTGGTTCAAATGGGACTGAATGGCTCAAGAGACTAGTGATAGGATAATAGCTTTTCTCCGTTTAAGTGGTACACCTGTTTAAATCATTTCTAGGTCTCTAGAGGCTGAAAGGTGTTGCTGTTCTGTGACTCCTTCATAGTTATTTGAAACAATTTTTTGTCTCAATCCCATCCTTAGTTGCAAGAAAATTATCCCCAACCCAGTCAGCACTGAATTATTTTTTACTAACTGTTGTCTCCTCCCTCTAAAGAAGCACAACTGTCAGAGCTGTGTATATGAATGTGTGGTGGTTGTTTTATTTAGTACTATATTACTGGCAATAAATATTTTGCTTCCTGTGGAATGGACAGATTGCACAGAAGAAGGGAGATCCTGGAATACCATGCAATGTAAAACTGTTCCTTGAAAAAATGCAATGATTTGGTCTTTTAGTGTGGATTTCTTGGGAGAAGAGGGCTGCTTTTGGTTGCCTTCAGCTACTGCTCACTTGCCCCCAGAGCTGTAGCTTTTCCACAGTGCACAAGCATGCCTGCCTGCCTGCCTACCTGCCCGCAGGCTGTGCCGGAACTTTCCTCTGCATAAATGTAAATCACGAAGCAGGACCACAGCTTAGGAAACAGCTATTGGTCATAAGTAACAACTGGAAAATTCAAACTGGTGGTTTGCCCTCCAGGTTTGTTTTGAAGCATCTACTTAATGTGTGAAGGCGGAGCAGTGAAGTGATGCTAGAGGACATGCCAATTTACAGCAGCTTAGAATCTTGCCTATCAATTTTATTCTGAAAGATTGTAACAAGTAAAATAGCAGGCATTGATTATTCTGCTAAATGTAAAGATTAAGCAAATAGTAAGAAGTAATGCTTACCAAACCAAGAAGGATTTGGATCTTTTAGTGGCTATAACAGTAAGTGTATAGCTAGTCAACCACAGCAGAGTTCATATTATTCAATGTACCAAAGAAAAAAAGACCTGAGGTTATTAGAGAAAAATCCCAGCAGTTCTGTGTGTATGACTGCTTGGAAAAAGAGCAAAAACCCAAAACCAAAAAACAAAAAAAACCCCAACAAATAAGATATTATGACAATGTAAGGGTGTTGGAGAATTGAAATCACATGGGTATAGTCACATTTCCTATAGAACCAATGCAATATGGATTTGGTTGCAATCATCTTGCGGGAGAAATATATTTTTTTGCCTTAACCCAGACGGCTCCAGGTTTAAGAACACTCACTGGGGGGAAAGCTAAAGGGGTTAAGGTGCAATAGAGGTGACCTGTGGGAACTTTCATTATTATATAGAGCCTTGATGAGTGAAATGAGAGGAATTGCTCTTCATCATGAAAGGCTGAAATGTCAAGGGAGCAATCGCAAATTAATCTATTAAGAAGTAAGAGGTTGAAGAGTGTGACTCAAAAGAGTGGAAATACATGGAATAAACTGCAGTGTAAAGTCACAATGATTTCTAAACACAGCCTTAAAGACATCCACTTGCGATTTTTACAGTGAAACAGGGATTTTTCTATATGTGTGTATATATGGGAAACAGAGTTTAAGTGGACAAAACGGGTCTCTGTATTCAGCTACTCTTGATATTTGTACTGACCAGGTCTGAATGAGAAGTTCTGTTCTGATTTGTGCGGCTTTAACCAGAACAATGTGCAAGGAATTTTTCTTTTTTAGAAGACACATCAATAAAATGCCTCATAGTCAGTTTTCTCTGTGGTGATTTTCCTGTTTTGCTGTGACATTTTTAACTTGAATGTAGTGCTTGTAAAAGGTGCTATGTGACAGCATTGTGTAACTGAAAGCCTCTTTTTATTGGCAGATCATGCACACTCAAGGCTGGGGAAATTTCTCTGTGTCAGCCTGGTGAGGGACACCCCCACAGTCTGAAGGAGCCAACCTCCAGGAGGAAAAATGGTAAGTCCACATCAGTCAGTCCAATCTTATGTTAAATGTCGCTCTGTGATTATTTTTAAAGAGCCTGCATCCAAAAGATTTGGAGAGAGCCATGAAAAGTTATCCACCTGACAGAACTGCATGGGTTATTTTTTCTATTCCCCAGCAGTGCAGCTTTCTGGAGTGTTAATGCTTTGTTCACTAGTGGCTGGAATGAGACTTGGTAATTGTGTCAAGTATATTTTGGTGGAGATGATGCTGTAGGAGGTACCTACCCTTTGCTGTGGTACTTGGTAAGCAAGGGTCTGCTGTTTGCCCAGTGCTCAACCCTGACACCAGTCTTTAGGCCTCAATGTTGTTAATTTGTGAAGCTCATTACCTTTGCCAGCTTATCCAGGAAGATGAGATGTGACTATGCTGAGATACAGCCCCCAGTGATGGAACTTTATAATACTGTATGACTGGAGGTTTGCTATTGTAGGCAGAGAAAAAGGCAATAAAGCAGCATTGATATCCTGCCTGCCCTCTTACAGGAGTTATTGAATCAAACCTACCAGAACTGCCAGACAAACAATTTGCAGCTGCAGTCTGAAGCCTGACAATGACACAGAATCAAAAAGAAGTAGTTGAAGTGCATGGGCTTGTGAACTCCTCTGTGACCCACCACAGCAGGCTCCCTAGGATTGTTCTCCTCTTTCTGGCCCTTTCCCTGTATAATTCCTTCTCTTTACCTCCCTTTTCCTGTCTCTCCCATTTTCTCTCCTATGTCTTGCCATTGTTAGCTCCTCACATCTTTTCCCCTCCCTTTTCTTTCTTTCTCTCATTACCTCACTATTTCCTTCTATTGCCTCCAGTATATCTCTTGCCTCTTGCTTTTCCTTTGAGTTTTAGTGTACTTCTCTCCTGTTCTCCTTTCCCTGATGTACCTTTTTGATATTTCATTTCCCTCTCTATTGCTCATTGTTTCTTCTTTTCTGCCAATTGTTCTACCTTCATTTTTCTCGAGCCATGTTTTGCCAGTATCTGAGCTCTATGTTGCTCTTACTCCTCAAATGTGAGAATTTAAACCTTTCCTGTGCACTTGGATTTCCAAAGTGCCAATCCAGCTCAACTGAGAGGAACTGATGTGGTTTGGCTCTAATGTCTATGAAGGGAGATACTGCAAAAGCCAGCATAACAGTAGCACTTGTAAGTACTCTGTGGCTCGTGAGCCAGGCCTGCAGTCATAGTTGGATTCAAAGCTTATCAGGTTAATGGGATCTGGATCTGACCTGCAAGTACCATCTTCTTATCAGCCTTCTGTCCTTTATTTCAATAGAAATCTCAACGCTCTCAGTTTCTTACAGTGCACAGTTTTGCTTTGGCTCAGGGCATTCTGTTTGGGATTTTTGAAGTTTTGGGGATTTTTTTTTTTTTTTTAATAAATATTATTCTAAAGCACATGCAATGTATGTAGGTATCAATGGAAAGGGGCCACACTGTGAAATATGGTCAGGATATATGGAAAAAAACCCCAAAACAAACAACCTTAGTTTTTGCATGCTCACAACAGTTATCTACTATTGCCTACAATTAGCTACTACTTATCTACTATTTTGGGGAAGATTTTTCCTCCCTTTTTTTCTCTTGCAACCATTGCCTAAGCATCACCCTTCTAAGCTTTAGTTTAGAAGCTTAGTACTATCTTTTTTCTATTTTTTCCCCCTTTTTCCCCTTCCCCCCCCCCTCCCCCCCCCCAAGTAGCAGGTTCAGGTTTTGTTCCAGGATTCAGGAGGTTTTTCTGTTTTGCTGGGGTTTTGTTGGTTGGTTTTTTTTTTGTTGGTTTGTTTCTTTTAAGTTCCTTGATTTGCTTATTTTCTCTGTTTCCTGGAGGGCTCTGGAACTGTAGAAGCTGCTTGAGAAAGGGAGCAGAGTGCTCACTATCCTGCAGCTGACCACTAGCAGGCCCAAGATCGAAGTCAAGCCCAGATCTTGTTGACAGGATGGCACCTCTCCTTTTATAAAATTATGTATAATATGAGTGTAAAAGCAACTCTTCCTTCCCCTCCCATTTTGTCTGCTTCCTTCTGTCTCTCCAGCTACTTCTCCTGTGGAGTTTGATGCTGGTGAAAATGGAAAGAAAATCAGGTTCTGTATAAACCAACCCTTTCTGCTCTGATTGGATTTTTCTCTTTCTGTCTGCTTCTTTATTTGATTTAAAATCTTAAACCCCTTGAAGGTTTTCTATTAAGATTTTCAGCACAACTTGGAATGGGGTGAGCCGTCAGAGCATTACATAAAAAGTGGTAGTTTATTTTTAGCTAATGGAAGAGGAAGGCTGATTGGATTAGCCCAGCAATGTGAGTACCTGATGCAGACTGCTATCAACACATCAACAGAGGAAGGGTTAAGAGCAGTTTCTTTCACTTTCCCTCACCCCTTTTACCCTCTCCTGCTTTGCCTTTCTTCACCCAGTAACTGACACTTGCAACAGCAGTGCAAATTCCTGGGCATGCTCTTGTACTGGTCAATACAGGAGTAAATCTTAGAGTCTCTCCTGTTGTTTTGCATTTGCCACTTGACAGCAGTGGATGCTCAGGAAGACTGAGGGGTAAGGTTTTAAAGCTTTAGACCAGGCTTTAGTCGTGTGACAGCTATTAAAGCAATTGGGAGCCAGGTGGCTAAAACCCAGTGCAATTCTTTGTAATGGTACCCCTGAGAGCGCTCATCTCCTTTTAGCACTACTATTGATTAGGCAATTCTTGACTTTGAGGAACAAAATTAGTGTGTGCATCAAAGTTCTTTTCCTCAATTTAGCCTGGTTTGAAATTAATCGTTCACCTTAAGCCATTTTTGTAAGCAGCTTTAAGCTTCAATATATTTCAGTGTGATTTGATTTTTCTATCACTTTTCTCTATGGAGGCCTGTTTACTGGTCTTCTTTAGGACATCTCCAGAGCTGTTTGGTCTTTATTCTCATCTCCCACATTGGTCCTGGTATGTTGTCCAGTGCGACTGGTCGATGCTCAGTAAAATGCTGTGGGGTCTTTATTTCATGGCTGCACGCAGTGCACTGTCAGCAGCACTGAGGCCAATGGGTACCTGGTTTTCAGTAGGAGCAATACATTTTATGAGGCTGACCGTATTATTTTTCAGATTATTGTCCAGACCCTGCCTCTGTCTTGACTGAAATGATTTGGTGTTCCTAGAGGGAGCACATAAACTGTGAGCAAATTCCTCCCAATTGCGAAAACTCCTCATGAGTATTTGATCTTTACTAGAGAGTGAAATGACACACAAAGGTATGTGAATGTATACTTATGTCTGTGAGAAGGTGAAAATAAATATGTAAAACCAAGGAAGAGTGTTCCCCAGCCCTCTTACCTTTTGCACTTCCTTGTTCTCTAAAGTGTTCGAAGATTTTTTAGCATGTCATGTTATCATGGGTGGAGAGGCAGGACAGGCTCTGCATGAGGATATGCCTTTTGCTTTGGGAGTTTAGTTCATTATATTTATTTATATGGGTTTTCCTGTCTGTTTCTTTTGGGTGTTCTAGAGTACTCTTGTGAACTATTAGGTAATGCTAAGTCTTGCCAACCGCAAGAGACTGGCAATGAATAGCTTTTTTCTGCAATAAAACCTGAAGTGAATGCTGAGCTGGAAAAAGCTATCAAGCCAGTCCAGTACTTCAGCAGCTAGGTAAATCTGTGTGGAGACTTTAGAGCCTGCTTCTGCATCACTTCTCTCAGTGCTGCTGTTTGCTTCCTTGTCGCCCTTCTGCTCATTTGAACAGCCAGAGCACAGAAGGTAGTGTTTAACAGTTTCACGTTGCTGGAAGATCGTTGCTGGGATATTTGGGTATGGGATGATACACAAGCAAGGGAATTGGAGATGAAAGAGAAATTCAGAAACATTGGCTTCAGAAAAATGTTTCTTATTCCTGCTCCTGTTCAAAAGAGGATAAAACAGCTCTTGAGGTGTCCCAGGCAACCAAGAAGTCCATTGCCTCCTTGCCAAAGAATACTGATTTAGGAGCTCCAGAAGTGGTTTTATAAGACATCCCTGTCTATGTTGAGCAAAAAACCCTGTCTGGGTTGTCAAAGCCCAAAACATTCTGTTTAAACAAGCTGGCATATTCCAATCAGTTTTTAATCTGAAAATTCAGTTCATCATGTGCTGAGTGTGAAATGTGATGCCAAGATTGAGAGGACAGCATTACAGTAGGACTTTGAAGGAACTCCAAGAGAAAGACAAGTATGCACCACCTCTCCCATTCTAGTCAAGTTCAATGGAAGTTTTTCTGGAAGGCCATTTATAGAAATCTCAGCAGAATGACAAATTCCAAACTCAGTATATATACATATATATATATATATACACACACATTTTTAAAATGACACAGAGCCCAAGTAGTGCAGGAACATGAATAATGAAAAATCTGAGCTGGATTGCCCAAGCTAAAATAAAAATTGAATGCAGCTTTGATAATGGAGGACATGACAAACTAATTAATAAAGCATATGCAAACATTCAACTTTGGAAACATCCTTTGTACTTCAATAGATTCCCAGAAATCAGTATGGGGAATCTGATAGGAAAAGACTTTGATCTTTAAATTGTTGCTGTTACAACAAAACACATCTATGTGCTGTTTTACTTTTACAGCTGTTGTCTTGTGAGAAAGTCTGAGATTTGTAAAGAGGTTTATGTTTGTATTAAAATCTCCTCTATTTTAATTGAGGTTTGTCAGTCATGCATCTGAAACTGGTGTTTTTCCACAAATATTTTAGGCAAAAATAGTTTCTGTGCATAGAACTAAAACAGTTATTCCCCACATAGGTAGCACTTGCCATATGGGAGGTACTGCAGACACAAAAACGCTGAAGGCCAGAAAGGGAGCTCCTTCTTCCAGAGTTCACTAAGTGGGCTCACGATCTGTGACTCTCACTCTCTTCTGCAGTGTTATTTCCATTTTACAGACCTAAACAGAGGGCCAAAGAGGTTGGGAGAACAGAGCTGTGCTTTGATGGTGAGAGAGGAGAA